GTCGCATGTCAAAAGATCAGATATGTATCGGTTTCAGGACCACATTTCGAAGTGTCCTGGGCCACATTTAAAAAAATCAGATCTGTGTCATTCAGACTGTCATTAAATGATCAGATACAGGGCACATAGGGGCCAAAACATTTGATTTGGGTCACTTCAGGCTGCAGTCTGAATGCAGCCTATGATTCTGTCACATGAAAACATTCACTCACTCAAGTACGGTACTTGAAGTCATTATTACCAATCTCTGGACATGGGAGCTTGGACATAGATTTACTTAAGTTACCTTTAATCTGATCCTTTAGATAAGCCTGGACTGAGGCTCTGCTACCTGTTTCTTTGTGTACATTCCTTTGTGTACATCCCTTTGTGTACATCCCTTTGTGAATTATTGTGTCTATTATCTTTATTGTGTAGTTAAAGTTTTATTCCAGAGGGCTTGTTTGTAGCATGCCGCATAAGAAATCCTATTGAACTACAGACAATAGTTGAACAAAAACACTGTGTAACAAGCATTGGAGACTAACAAAGCATGTGTTTACATTGTGGGAAAGGAGCTGAAGTAATTATGTTTAGGAACAATAACTTTTTCTCAGTGTTTCTACATTTATAAGACAGTACATTTATCTCAAAAAGCAAACAAAGCCTAGAGTATTGTTTGTGCAGATTACACATTCAAAGTTTGGTAATTATATGCCATTGCAATATATTGTTTTTGTACCAATCAGACATATTAAAATAATCTCTAATGGTGGAAAATGCATGTGTGATATGATTAGTTTCAGTTAGATCTGTTAGAAGTCCAACCCTTAATGCACAAAATAGTTTGGGTAAGGGATTATATTTGTATTATACTAAATATGGCCCAGTGACTGTATTTAAATCTAAAATTGTTATACTGCATGGCTCTTGATTTCTCTTAACTACAATTCTCATGATCTTATCTCTAAACTTTAATTCCATTCGCTCTCACAACCCACATTAGCAAAACAGAGCATAAAAACTTACAACTGTTGATAAACTTGAGCCTTATCAAGATTGAAAAATAGAGTTATGGCAGAATGTTTTCACGATTATGTGAAGGGTGGAATAAAATATGAGTCCACCACCTGATTGTTGTGTTATTGCTTTAATCTCCCACAGTAGGTCAGTAAACTTAAAAATCTCCATGCAGACAAGCAGATGGCTCCATGAAGCCAGGTTACAGAGGTGAGAGAGGCGACCCTGCTCACAGTAAGTGTAATAAAAAGGTAACACTTTATAATAACTACACCTTACTTAGCCTTAATAAAGCATGAACAAAGACTTAATTAATAATGAACAAAGATTTAATTAATACTGATTCACGCTTAGTAAATGCTTAATAAAGTATAATTCGATTTCACTTTAGAAAAGCTCTCAAAAAGACTTAACTAACACATAACAGCTGCCTGAATGATCATTGCATTGAATTATTAGTAAATCATTCCCTCATAGTTTACTAATGATGAATAAATGCTCAAATGGTTAGTTCATGAGTAATTAAGTATGAAATAATTATGAGTAACTATTTACAGCACAGGCAAATTAAGTGTAAGTGCTAATTAAGGTAGTAATTAAGTAGTTACTAAGTGTGAATCATTATTCATTAGGTCTTTGTTCATTATTAATTAAGTCTTTGTTCATGCTTTATTAAGGCTAAATAAGGTGTAGTTATTAGTTATTACAAAGTGTTACCAATAAAATACAAGTGAGAAACATTAAATAGCATACTATGGAACATTTATGACAAAGCAATACCATCTCCACGGAGACAAACAGCTGAAAGGTTACCTAGTACCTTTAACATCTTGTAACCAGACCCTCTAGTCGATGACCTCCTAAAAGTCTCCATTAGGCTGTGCAGCACATCCTTAAATGACTCTGTATTTCTACCTGACAACAATGACAGTGCTATAAGCTGGTGGCGAAAGGTTTGATGTGCGAGATAAGAACTCTCCCTGTAGGCGTGTTTGATGCTGTTCACAGCGTTACACAGTCCTGTGCTGTACGACATCACAGGCTCTTTGATATGTGGATCTGAAGCCTGTGATATACTGACACGTCTGATCAGTGCGGGGCGAGCACCAACTGTCATGGAGGTGATGGAGATTAGGAGAACCGGGATCACATTCTGTTACTGCTCCGAATAAGGTGGCGCTACACACTTGTTCCCATGTGGTTAAGCAAAATTTGTATTGCTCTTTACATTTTTGTGTTGTGCTGTCTGTATTTAATTTTAAAGCATTTTTTTCAGAGTATTAGGAAGTGCGCTGTTAGCATACTAGTTGTTTTTTAGCTTTACCATGGCAACAAAACTTCACTATGGCCTCTGAAAGTTGTGATGAACTCATCACGGTGAGTAAATGGGATGCTAGAATCTGTTAGAAAAGTGAGAAAGAAGTTTGGACTTTTGAAATAAATTTGTTTTGTTTTTCACATTTTTAAGACAGTAAAACTTAAACTGGCAACTGTGAAATGGGTAAGAAATCTCTTCCTAGAAAGGCCTTTTTGAGCATTTTTCATTTTGAGTATCACAGCTAAAGTGAGGAATATAGAATTGCAAACTAATGGATTCAATCTTCCCTTATACTGAAAAATATATAGTTTTTTTGTTTTGTTTCCTTGCTATACCAAATTTATGTTGGATAACTGCTGTATTGTAATTTTCAAAAAGATCACAGAAGATAACAAAGTCAAATCTGTTCAGAAAACTGATAAAGACCTTCTACCTCATAGTCCAACTTGTGCAGAATACTTAGAGTTCAGTAGTTGTTATTGTGTCAATTCCCGCAGTGTATCCCAGCCCATGTTTTTCCCATGTTTATTTTAAGGACGCTTGAATTCTCACCTCCAGCTTCATCCTCACCGTTTGTCTGTCAGCTTGTGCCGGAAACAGTCTGCGAAGGGCTTGTGCTCACATCCAACGTGCCCAAACACCATCATTATTTAATTCACTCGGTGGAAGCAACTTTTATAGCAGTCTGGTTGTTCCGAAAACCAAAAATTGCATCCAAATTAGCGTGTCCGTTTTCACATCTTGCAGACAACAAAACAACTTCCAAGTCCACTGCTGCCACTTTGCCGGATGTGTTGATAAGAATAAAAAAATCATTTGGATATATTCAAGCTTGACTACAAATATACCAACTCTTACGCCCTGACCTGAAGATGAATTGCCAGTCATTCTTGTTGCCTCACACTAAACAAGCAATTACACTGGCACAGTTTGCTGCCATGTTTTGCTAATTAAAATCCATCAATTCATATAATGACTCAGAACAACAAAAAGAGTTCAGTTTCTGCATTGCGCTTGTTGCAGATGTTACCTGCGTGTCATAATGAAGAGCCGGCAATGACACTCAACGTGACTTAATATGCTGCCTGTTAATTGGGATCAGTTTTGTGTTTTTTTGAGTGCAGTCAGCTAAAATAAATAGCAAAAAGGAAAAAAAAAAAAAAAGATCACAGTTTTTTCCTCTTGTCTGTTCACCCTTGCTAATTAGAGCTTTTGGTACATACACTCACGCTTCACTGAAGAACATGGCTAGCATCTCGGCGCGCAAAATTCAAGCCTTTTTCTATATTGTTTACAAATCCCCCTGAGGTTTAAGTTTGCAGTCAGAACAATATGTGAAGACGAACACAAGTCCTCAGGGTTTGATTGTTAGAAGAGGAGTTGAGACATTGCACATTCAGCCCTCGTCTCTGCGGCTGTGTGTGTGTCTCCGTGCTTGGTGGGATCTGATAACGACGTGGCCAGAACAAGATGGTGGAACACGGAGATCTCATATGATGCTTTGAACCGTTCAACCTCCGTGAGACCTGATTTTGTCAAGATGAAAAATGTTTTGGAATCAATAATGTACAGTACAGAACTGAGTGGAAGGTTAAAGCAGTGGTGCAAAAATATTTCCGATTTCTGAATATTTTTGAAATGAAGGTTTTCAAAGTAGTGTTTGTGTAAATTTAACTAACAAACAAAAGTAACTGTTATGTCATGGAGAAAATTTCTGAAAAACACAATAATAGGGGTGTTCAAAAATATTGAAATATCAATATATCGTTTCGCTTAATGTGATGATACAGTATCGATATCATGGGCTGCTGTATCGATATATCACCAAGAGTATTTTTTGGTATATTTTACTGAATTATTTTGTTACAGTGCTACAGTTTTGTTGCTTGTGTAGAGGAAGGAAACTTTTTTATGCGACACATTTGACATTTTCACTGTTTTGATGAATAAAATGTTTGTGTTTCATATGAACTTTGCACAAGAAGTGGTTTAACAAAGACTTTTAGTATCACAGACATGATTTAGACTTTATTTTTATTGAACTGTATTGAATCGATTTGAAATATATCATGTTGAATCGAAAGCTCACTGTATCGAGATATGTATCGTATCGTGGCCTGTGTATCAAGGTATGTATCGTATCGGCAACTTCATAATGATACCCAGCCCCACACAATAATGTAAAACCACTTTTTTAAACTGCACAGCGCTTTTATCCTTTGACATTCATCTGACACTACTGATTGTATTAAGTTTTGCAAAGCTCGCTAAGTGACTCATACCACAGTAGCTGCGTTGTTGCCAGACGAAGCCCCTTCCAGTTTCAGCGCACTATTTGACACTGTGTTGTTGGAGGTTAGCAAACTGAAAACTTTCCTTTCGTCAGATCCAAAATCACAAATTCATCTCATTATCAGGTTTCCGTGGCAACCACAAGGTTTAACCAAGTTTTGAACCATCCACCACAACATCTAACAGCAGAAATTACAAGGGGTCCTGATCCTTTTTCAGTGTGCCATGTCACTAATCACTAATTTATTCTTATTAACAAACTGCAAAATAAGGATGCCCCCAAAGTCTTGCCAGAGCATTTTGTAAAAGACATAGATTATAATGTATATGCTTGACAGGTGTCACAGTGTAGTAGATTTACAAAGACATCAGAGCTGCTGTGTTGATGTACCTGGTTTGGAGACCTCGGCCACAGATCCGTTGTAGACCTGGTTCTGAAACTCAGGCCGGTTGTCGTTCATGTCAATGACATAGATGTACAGGTCTATGGGGTTTTCCACCTGGTTTCCATTCATGTCCACTGCATGGGCTCGCAGCTGTGAAAACAACACAAAACCTCATTAGGACACCGAAAATAGACCAGTGTCGCAAAACTGGACCACATAGTACAGACACTTTTGTAATGATCAAGAGGGACGTGAAGAGACAAACAACAATGAGTGAGGGGCAATTTAATACATAAAGATCTATGCTCAGACCTTAAGAAGAGATGTACAGATTTGTTCAACATTAGCAGTGAGGAAGAGGCTTGGTGTTTGGATGAAAAGGGCACAAACAGTGATCGAATGATAGAAGCGAGAGAGAGAGAGAGAGAGCATTTTGAATGGCTTATGACGGGAGAGCCAATGGTCAGAGTTTGTGATTGACACCTAACTGTCAATGCAAGCTTCAACTTCATGACAACTCTTGAACATATACAGGTTATACGGGTTGTGTGCATGCTTTACATACATCACTAAAGTATATATTTTTCATTACTTCAACATCATGATTTTTTTTTATTCAGTGGAGATGATGTCTTTGACCATGCACACATAGTATTCCCACAAATCTATACTATTCCCTGCTGAACTTAAGTAAGTGGTGCATTAAAGAGCTTATATTACGTCTATATTATTAAATTTATGGTACGTTCTCACATGTTTAACATCAAAGCCCGGCATATTTAGGTTTCTCTCAAACTGAAACACTCTGTCCACTGGAACTGTTTGAATGATTTCAGACTTGGAATTGCCAATCTCTACTGAACTACAGGTAGAAGGTAAAGCTGTTAACTTGAAAACTACCAACTCATGACATAACAATGTGGAACAGAGCTTCTTGAGTTTTGTAGATGCAGGACATTACTCAAACATGTGTAAATGAAACACAACTCCAGGTATGTTTTGGCGCCTTTAAACATTACCATGCAGCTCAGGTTATATTTCAAATGGAAGATGTCAGTGTCCACCACCTCCACCACAGCCCACTGGTTTGATGGATCCGAGGCCCCATACACATGCTCCACACGGCACAACTTCTCTTTCTGTTAATTGGCTGTTTTATTTGTTTTGGCAAATATCATGCCCCATTTCTGCCAATGGGACACAAGATTCCTGGCACCGACCACCACCACCACAGCGAATGGAGCATGGAGTAATGAATTGATCCAGTGTCACAAAAACAACACCTATTTTATTGTTAGCGGAGTCCCGAAAAAATATCTGAGGTGCTGCATTACAAGCTGCCCCACCCCTCCCTACCACCTCCCTTTTCCTTTTATTTCTTGCTGAGAAATAATGTTTGTCAGGGTTTGTTTTGACAAAGCAGCCATTTGAATGGATGTCTCTGACTGATGAGAGGTTCCTTGACACTTCTCTGTGTGAGAATACAGAGAGGGGAAAAAAACATGGAGTGAGCTTTGTGCAAGCAAATGAGGGGTGGAAACACAAAGAGGAACATGGGGCTCGGGGGGAGAGCTGACTCAAGTAATCATCATCTACAGTGGGACGTCTTAATCTGCGCGCACGCTGCTGCTCGGTAACAATGGTCTCCAATGGTAACACTCAGTTTATGGCCAGAAAAGGCGAGAGCTATTCCTCTGATGATACAGTAGCTCACGGCAGTTAGTGATGTTCCATTAATTAAAAGGCTATGGTTCATATCCAAACTGTAGATGTGTCCTTGTGCAAGACACTTCATCCGTATTTCCTTCATGACTAGTTGTCCCATGATCAGAAGTTTTTAGTGCAAGAAACTTCACCATTTCACAGCAGTTTTCTGAGTGAATGTAAGTTGTGTTATTGTATGATATGTTTTGGTAGATGAGTCTAACATTACTGCCCTCTGAACTGGCAGGCTCACTATAGTTAGTACAAATATAGCTATAACAGGACAAACACTGCAAGAGCGCAAGAGGAAAATTGTAAAAACACATATTTTTCAGTTGGATTGCAGTTATTTGGTACCAAAAAATATATCATAATGGGACCCTTTTCAAATGGCAAGATATAAAAATAAATTCAAGTAATTCTAATACAGTTTATATGTTCGTTCTTCTTTTTGTTGCATTGTCACACCCAGATAACAATCATGTAAACAAGCATTAACTTTATTAAGCATTGCATTTATACAGCACCTTTGATGACACCCAAAGTGCTTTACAGTTCATTAATCATTCACTCCACAATCAGTGGTGCTAAGCTACTACTGTAGCCACACCTGCCATGGGGCAGACTGACTGAAGCGAGGCTGCCAATCTGTGCCATATGCCCCTCTGACCACCACCAACACTCACACACACTCCACTTTCTTACTAGGCAATATGGGTGAAGTGTCTTGCCTAAGGACACAGCGACAGGTTTTGCCTCTGGTGCCCCACTGTGGTATTCACAGTGGTCTCCCACTAACCAGGCCCGGTCTTGATTCTCTTCTGAGATCTGAGGAGATCAGGCTTTGACAAGCCGGTATGACCCCAGTGTTTTTGAACATGTCATTACGTCATCATTATAAGATACACAGGGCTATTAATGAAGCAGGGGGTCGTCCATGTTAATGAAATTATTCATATAGAAGATGCTGATACTTTGAGCTGATGTCATCAACATTCCCTGGGGGTGTGATGCTAACTAGAGGCTCTGCTCTGTCTGAGGTTTTGTTAGACTTTAATCTTCCTTGTTTTAATACAATCTGACCAGAAGAAACTGAATCAGTTGGAAATACAGCAGGTGAGATGATGTTCCTAAAATCACACGGTCCTAAAAATGTGAAAATGTGTAAATCACTTTAATATTTTTCTTGACTTTTCAAACCACCGGTGTTTAGCTTATTTGTGCATTGTGTCATCATAGTAACTGCCAAACATTTTACCATAGAAATACACCCAAGACACCTCCTGCGTGATGTTATTGCAAAGTATCAATAATGTACCTGAGAGATACTGGAGTTATACATTTTTGGAGTTATAATTCTAAAAATCATATTGGTTTTCAAACATTCGAAAGCAAATACTACTTATGAGAAAATATTTGGCTTATGGAGTCACCTGATCTAAACCAGTTATATAACAGGTTTAGTGGTCTAAACTAGCCCTAAAACGGGTCCATGTACGACTCCACCACTACTAACTCTAAACAAGGTTCATTCTTGGTTAATTATGGATTACGATTACAATATTGCAGTGTACCATACCCGACATAAACACGCCAAGCTGTAAACCTGTGTGTACGGCAGCACTGTGGCAGGACGCTCTGATATATCAAGTGCCAACATGAAAGACAGATCGGTAGCACCTGTTCCCTCTGAATCCTCACTCATCATGTGGGCTCTCAGTGTACATCTGTCAACGAAGCATCACAACACAACCCAAACACACACACACACTGTTCACACACTCTCTCCACACACTCTCTCACCCTTTGGACGCATGTAGCTGCATAATAACAACATTTACAACCAATCAAAACGGGGCCCTTTTAGCTACTTAATGATCCTCGTGATGCTCGTTTTCCATTGGCTGAAACGGGGCAAACACACACACACACACACACACGGAGCAGAGTCACAACAAACAAACAGAGCCAATCTGTTTCCTCAGCTGTGAGCGGTTTGTGGCGTGGGACGTGAGACTGCTCCTGTGACTGTGGAGAGAGCATTGTGTTTGGTACAACACATTTTTGGTCTTTGTTTACGCTCTGCAGTCATATGTTAGCCTTGCATTTTCCTGTACAGTTTGTTAATGGATTCAGAAAGCAATGGGAGACACCGAGCCATTACCAGTCTGATAGAATATTGTCCTGACATATGCACTGGGTTCACTAGGTTTGTGCTTACAGCTTAATTAACCTATGTTTTCATTCTGTTACTGTAAAACTGTATTGTTACTATTTACAATTATGCGAGTAGGTGATTGATGACTTGGGTTTCTTATCTGCAGGTGCCTACAGAGAGGGACCCTGTGTTTACTTTTTAACAAAGAAAACTTCCACATCCACCATATTAAAATTGGGACTAAACCAGGACTCAACCCAAAAGTAAATCTGGAGTTGACCAGGACTAAGCAAGGATTAGAACAGAGCCAAACCAAGTCCAAATCTGCACTGAAACAGGAACTCACCCTGCGTACAATAACCAAATGGGTAAACTGTGGCAAAACGATCATTCCATGTATGAAAAGCACAAGTTATATATATGATTTGCGCATTTATATTCATTCGTCTACCTCAAGTAGGCATAGTGGAGATGTCTTTCCCTTTGCGAGTCAGGGTTTTCTGATTTGGTAAAGTAGATTTTGGTATTCCCCCGTTAGTGCCTGTTATGTCTAGTCTAGGCCTCTCCATCCCCTGTACACTCCAGTGTTTGTGTGTTTGTGCACTTGATGGAGAAATTGGAAATGTGATCTAAAGGCCTGGAGCGCTGGCTGTGCTGCTGACAGACTGTGTGAGGCCCCATCAGTATTCTGCAGTATAACCGGACCACCACAGAAGTGCACTTTTATCTGGCCCATTGCTCCCTTTAGCGGACACATAACCATAAATAACCATATACTCGCAGGGCACGTACTACACACCTTCGGCAATATGTACTTTTTGCTAAAAAACAAAAATATAGTGTTTTAGATTTGTTTCTTTTGGCTTTTCTGAATCATGTAACTGCTGTATTTTATGGTAAATCAAATGAAATACATTAAGAGTTAAACCTTTCTTTTAAAACTAATTTGGTCACCCTTTGAACAAAACTGCACAATTTACAACTTACAACAACTAGACTTAATACTTTCAATACTATGTTAATATCACTAATGAAACAAGAGCATGCATGCGTAGAGGGGAGGAGGGCCATCTATCCGTTTAAAAAGAGTTACTAGAAATATCCTGCTATATTGTTATTGGGTCAGAGGTATAAAGTAGTTTCAGTATTATTGTTCATTGTGATTGTGTAGCAATATATCATGCTTTAAAATAGGGCTGTGCTAAAAATCATAAGACTGATAGATCGCGAACTCAATGATAAGACATTCGCATTTTAACCGACAGGTCTATAGCCAATCATGTGGCAG